TTCATATGTTGTATGCTTCAAATATAAAGAGAGAACGCTTCTAAAAAGTACATTTTGATTATATTATTTTATTAATTCTGCAATTTTTAATTTCTATAAAAGAATAACGAGTAAATATTTGTCAATTTCGAGATTAATTGCAAACATCTGTTGCAATCTGGTAACTGCTGATTCGACGATTGCCAAATCTATCCCCTAATTTGTCAAAGGGCAATTGCCAAAAAAAAAAATAATAATTTACTGCAACTAATCTCCAAAGAAACAAATATTTACTTTCCTGTTTTATATAAATCAAAAATTGCAGAATTCATAACACAATATAACCAAAATGTACTTTTCTAAAGCTTTATCTCTTTATATTTGAAGCATACAATATATACATTATAAAAACATGCCAACACTGCTAAACCGAAATTTTTTGTCTCACGTTTGACATTTGCAGCTATAGTCAGCTTGTATTTTCGGTAAACTCAACCTACCTCTGTAACAAAAACCTACATGTTTCATGCAGTCGATTTTTTAGACTTAATTATTAACAGATTAAGGTCAAAAACGGTACATTTTTGTATTTTTCTTGTATCAGAAAAAAGTGAAACATTTGAAATAAATTTGAGAGTAAGAAACTTATAAATCATATAAAAACCTTCAAAATGGCGTTTTTCAACTTTTCCTATCCTTATTTTTTGCTTATAAAGTTGCAAAATAAGTCAAAAATTCTAGATTTTTTATGAATAGTAATAAATTTGATTAGTGATTAAAATATGATTAAAATTTCAAGTCGATCGGTCAAATAGTTTAAAAGATATTTAATTTGTTTATCCTAAATTAATTTTTTTTGCAAAAATATAAGTCAGAAGACTATGTAATTATAGTAATTATACGGATAGCATCCAAAAGAAGAAAATTTATTCTATAAATTTTATTTAAAAAATGAGGAAAAATAATTTTAAATATTGCAAAATAATTTTGCAAGTCATGTCGATTTTTTGCTTATAAATAATTAGAATATTTTTTTAACCAATACCTGCAAAAAAAATTATTTTTTTATGTGTAGAAACCCGTATTTTTTACAAATTTAAAAGAAAAAAAGTCGAAAAGAAAAAAAATTTGCGCCTTTTTGTATTGATAGCAGCATCGTTTATAACAATTAAGAGATTGAGGTCATCTGAAAGAACATAAGTTAAAGATTTAATGTGCACAATTCGAAAAAGGCTGCACTCTACTGAAGTTTCAAAAAAAATTTCAAAAATTGGGTCCTCAAAATCGGCCGGTTTTGAAAATAGTGTGAGCGTAGGAGGGGGAAGGAGCTGTTAACTGTATCTCTGTTTCTTGTTTATGAATTTTGACGTTTCTTTTAGTTGTTAAATAAACCTTCCAATTTGTTTAAACAAATTTTTTTAGTCTTTAATTTTTTGATTAATATTTCAAGTAATTTTTATTGTAAAACATAAATATTTAAGATTAAATATATACTTCTTCAATAGACTTCGTAAATAGTTTATTTATAATGAATTTTGTTAAAAACAAGAAATTATCCTATTCAATTACTTCTAAAAATAATATTAGTTTATGTAATGCTTTTTGGAAATAAATATTCCCAAATAACCGAGGTTTTATTTCTTGCTAAACATGCTAGACGGGTGGATTTCGTCGAAAAAAATCGATTTCATACACACACGCTCAAACTTGTTTTAATCGATACTATTATGATGCGAATAATTTATGTATAACAATTTTTAAACAAATTATAAAAAAATGCGTTTTCCTTTTTTATTTTTTTTTGTCACCAAATTTATTCTTTTGATTTTTATGTAAAACGCTTACTTTTAACGTAAATTGTAAATAAACAACTAAATTAGCCGAAAAAGCCAATTTTAGCGTTTTTCGGTGCCATTTTTTAATAGGTTAAACATCAGATGTAAAAAAACAAAAAACACAAGATGAAAGCTTAAGTTAAGTCGTTTAAAAATGCTCAATTTCATTTTGATTTTATATTGCAAAAGTCAGTTTAAAACATACATAAACAAATAGATATATCGTTGCGTTTCGGAATAAATAAACTTGACGAACGTCTAAACTTTAACGTTTGAAACATATTGTTTATTTCTTACCCACAATCTAAATTTTGTTTTAATCAAAAGAATATGAGACTGCAATATTAGAGTAAAAAATTTATCCAAAGTTACCAACGAGAACCTGCTTAATATAAAAGAAAAAAATAAATAGTTCAGATAAAAATGAAATTTTTTTATTCATTGAAAAATTGTTATGAATAAACAGCTTCCCGTGGTAAACTTCAGGTAAACTTTTTACTGTAATGTTGTAGCATACGTGAATGCTCACCATAGTATTCTTTCGATTAAAATAACATTTAGCTTATGGGTAAAAAATAAACAATGTGTTTTGAATGTTAAAGTTTAGACGTTCGTCAAGGTTATATATCTCGAAACGCAACGTTATAACAAGTTGTTTATGGATATATTAAATTGACTTATGCCATATAAAATCAAAATATACATGCGCATATTGAACATAATTTGTAAACTTTCACCTCATATTTTTTTGTTGTTTAAATTCGATGTCTAACCTATTTAAAAATGACATCGAAAACATTCAAATCAGCATTTTTCGGCGATTTTAATTAAAAAAAAAAACAAGAATAACTGTCTTAGAATAATTTAAATTATTAATAAATGTAATTTTAAAGCAAACAAACTTTCTTTATATTTTGTTTAAAGAGTTTGAAATAAATAAATAAAAGTCCAAAAAAATTAAAAAAAGAATCGTCGAAATTCATAAACAAGAACCAAACATACAGTTAACAGTTCCTTCCCCCTTCACCGCCTACCTAGTTTCAAAGCCAAGCGATTTTGAGGACCACATGTTTGAACCGTTGTGAATGATTCCATTAAAATACAATCTTTCTCCAATTGCGCACATTAAAACTATAAATCATGTTCTTTCAGATGACCCTAATAACATCTCTTAGTTGTTATAAACAAAGCTGATATCATTAAAAAAAATGCACTAACTTTGACCCAATCGTAGGTCAATAGTTTTTCTTTTAAATTTGTAAAAAAATATGCAGGTTTTCTAAATATTAGAAGATAATTTTCTTGCGGGCAATGGTTAAAAAGTTAATCTAATTGTCTATCTATCGACATTTTTTTGCAATATTTAAAATTATTTTGTCTCATTTTTATAAATAATGTTAAATGAATAAATCTTTTTCTTTTAAAAGCTACCTGTATGATTGCTTAAACTGCATAATTTTCTGACTTATATCGTTGCAAAAACATTTAATTTGGGATAAACAAATTCTTCTTCTTCTTCTTCGTCTAGCCATTCACGTCCACATCTGAACATAAGCCTCTTCAAGTCTTCCTTTACAACAAATTAAATAACTTTAACTCTTTAACCGATCGACTTGAAATTTTGATCACATTTAAAGAGCCACAAGACCCAACATCGTGTGTAATATAAAGGTTATAAGTTTTTTTTAATGATAGGATCATCAAAAACCCAAAATTTTTTACTCTTTTTGAAATTTTCTAAGCAAGAAATGAGAATAGGAACATTTAAAAAACGGCATTTTGAAGGTTTTTATATGATAAGTTTATTACTCTCAAATTTTTATCAAATGCTTCACTTTTTGTTGATAGACGAAAAAGCGAAAATTTACCGTTTATTTGCCCTAAATTGTTAATAACTAATCAAAAAATCGACTGGTGGAAACATATAGGTTCTTGATATAAGGGTCCATACCACTCAAAACAACTGTCGGTTGTTTGGTCGGACTAGTATCACGAAAAAAAGGTTATTTCCTTGGGCTAGAAAACAACATACCAAGACAAGCACTTGAACACCAATCAGAGGGGAAAATAATAAGAAAAGAAAGGAAGACCAGACAACAGAAAGGAACTACAACCAAAGAACACGAAAAACTTAGGCTAAGATAGAATGAAATCAAAAACAGATCAAGAAATAGAAGAGAATGGAAGTAACCAGTTAGTACACAGTTTATCCAGAGAATAAACAAGAAAGAAGATGCGCTGACCTGGCCGGTCAGCAATCTTACACTTATGACCAAGAGACGAATAAGCGCCCAATACTCCACAAGGAGTGATCGAACTAGAGCGACAGACAGATTTGTATACTTGGGCAATATAATAACTAACAATGACGTTTCTCAGAAATTAAGCGTAGACTAGCAATGGCTCGAACCGCAAAAGCTATATTAATCAAAATATGAATGACCGAACAATAACAAGGAATACTAAGCTCAGGTTGATTGTTCCCATTGCCCTTATTGTTCCCATTGCTGCATACGCAGCTGAAAGACAGAATCTCAAAAAAAAATGGAATTGTGAGTGAGTCTATAGAAACATTCTAGCATAACTAAATTACTTCACCCACATAGCGAGAAGAACGGGGACTGAAAGAAAAGGTAGAAGGGCGAAAGCCAAGAGGAAGATCTTTAACTCGATGGATACACCAAATGAAGACTTTGTTGGGAAAATCCCTACATGGCACAGGATCACAGCCAAAGGGGTGAGACCAAGCTAGCAATGTTTAGAATGTCAACACGCCCTGAAAAGGGCTTTATTATTTTTGGATAATGATATTGTGTATTTAACTTCTTTTGTTGTTGTAACTGTACCTAGATTTGTAATTTTTCGAAATGTACAGGCCGATTACCATTAAATAAATTTACGGTATAAGTTCACCATTCTTTGAGTTTTCGCTGGTATAATTATACCATGGTTGGAATGTGATGGTGCCGCTGACAAGTCGAAATTTACCGTGACTTGCGTCACTGCGGACCAGTCTAACCTTACCCGCAATTGCAATGTTGCCAATTCTAATAGTACTGCTTGTGAAGTAGAGGTGGCTTTATTTAACATTATTAATATCCAAATAACGAAATGATCAATACGACTTTCAAAATATGAAATTTTCACTACCATTTTCAATGTATTATTAAAATAGATTACATTTTTCATATGTTTTATTGGTAAATATGTAGTTGATTATCGTAAATATGAGGTCTATGTACACTAAATTGAAAATCTAGTTTGTTAACTAATCCCATCTATATATTGGTCCAGGAGTAATCCTTTTGACAACTTCGCCTTTTTCACCAGATTCAATTTGTTTTGGATTAGGTGCAATAACTTCGGGAGGAGACACTTCACGTCTTGCATCTCTTGAATAATAATAATTAGTATTAAGTTTGTGAGCAGGTCCATCTGGTAAAACCGGTGGAGGTGGTGATCTTGAAGCTAAAGCATCTTGAAACCTAAAATACAAATAAAACACCATGACAAATAAAGATTTAAAATCATTGTACATTTTACATCTGATTTTAATATTAACTGAGATTCTTCTTCATATGTTAAAACTTCATAAATAATTTCTTTGTTAATTTCATCAGTTCACGTTTTTCCTGGACTACTTCCTGATATTGTGGTCCTTATATTTTCCTTATTTTAGTATTATTTTATTTGTCGTTTTCGAATTTGTTGAGAGTTAATCAATTTGGAACTCTCAAAGTAGCAAAACATTTTGGATGAGTAGTTGATTTACTCCCCAAAAACAAGCATTTTATTTCCGTGCCTATCCAACTGAAGACTTATTCAGCAGTAGCTTCAGTGCATATTTGCAAGATATAATACAGTCTAAGCGACTTTAAATTATTTTGGGACAAATAAATAAGATACATAAAGTTATGAACTTTGCTAATATTATTTGCAAAGAGATAATAAAGTCTTGACGCAAATAATAAAAATAGATACAGTTGTAAACTTATCTATTATTATTCACCATTATAAAGTAGTAAGCAACAAATAGATAATAAGGCCTTATGACTTAGAATTGGGTGGCAGAATGGCGTAATGTAACATTCAGCGATGAATCACGATTCTGTTTACGAATGCAAGATGGTTGTATAATGGTAAGACGCCGTGGAGAGCGACGAGATATCAGGTTTGCTGTTGAGAGGCACGTACATAGGACAGTTAGAGTAATGGTTTGGGGGGCTATTGCCTGTGGTAGCCGACCACCACTTGTGTTTATTCGAGTTAATATGACAGCTGCGCATAGTGCGCATTATGTTGATGACATCTTACAAATCACTTTACTGCCTTATCTTGACGGCCATCGAGACGCAAGATAATGCGCGTCCCTATATTGCTAATCAAACTATGGACTTTCTCCTACAAGATTGCGTTAATGTTTTGTCGTGGCCGCTCCGTGCTCCGGATTTAAATCCTATCAAAGATGTATGGGATATGATATGAAAGAGACTGTCCACTTTGCACCATCCTCCACAGACTCTGGCACAGTTAATAAATGAAGTTCAAGTTGCATCGAACGAGGTGCCCCAAGCAGACATCAATCATCTCATTTTGTCAATGCCTAGACGTATACAGGAATGTATTCAGCTACAGGGTCGCCAAACACATAATGTAATTTTTTTTTTTATTACTTGTTATTAAATTTTTTTGACAACGTTATCGTTCATTCTTGATGCTGATCTACCATGTTGCCAAAAAATTAAGTTCAAGAAAAAATATAACACTGTTTTTGATGGGTTGGAGTCAATAAAAGGGGCTATTTGTTGACTATTTTTTACTCGAGCTTTCAATTGTGATTACAATTTTTATCAAGAGCTTCTAAAAAATACAAAATGTCTTACAAAGTTGAACTAGAAATAAAAAATTTTTTGTTAACTCACCAAATAAAATTAGTTTTTTATATAAAACTACTGCTTACATAATAAATACAAAAAATATTAATAAAAAAATGTCTTATTCTAATAAATGTTTCTCTGAAAAATTTAGATGAAGTTTCTAAAGTTCTATTTAAAAGTTGATAAAAATTGTAATCACAATTGAAAGCTCGAGTAAAAAATAGTCAACAAATAGCCCCTTTTATTGACTCCAACCCATCAAAAACAGTGTTATATTTTTTCCAAACGAGTCACAAGTACTTCTTATTTCTTACTCTTATATATATATATATATATATATATAAATACTTTAGTTGCTTGTACTTAAGGCTGTTTTATCGGTGCACCAAAATTTTTTCTCTGTTATTTACCGACAAAATGTCTCGAAATTTGGACATGTTATTCAAAACTATGTTGCCTTTAAAATGATGGTTTTACTTTTTTTATTTTTTTGAATTTTCTGTTGAAAAATTACGTTCTATTATAACCAAACTTTTCACGCCCATCAGTTGAAAGAGTTTTTTTTTTCTGTAATCGTTGATTTTTTTTTTCACCTTTCTGTGTCCAGTAATAATCGAGAAAAGCGTATTCAAACTTTGAAGAAAATTGCTAAAAAAAAAAAAATCTAATAGTGAAACGTGTTCCTCATCATTGTCGCTTAGCTTGATCGTTATCACATTAGTGACGTCAAATCTCATGAACGTACGGTAGGGTCAGTTAGTTCGCTTGAATCAGAATCCATTTTAGTTCTTTCATTCTTGTATTTTCTTTATCAACTTGCTTAGTTTTTACAGTTTACAGTATTCTTATTTATTTTGAAAACATTGAAATTATTTAGTTTAAGGGTATGTTTAAGTAATATATTATTAGTTTAGTGGTATAAGTTAAAAGTTCTTTAGTTTACGCGTATTTTAAGTATTACATTAGGTTAGTGATATAAGTTATAAGATGCAAGATAAAAAATGAGTCCCAGTAAACGTCCTAGGTCAAGGAAAAGGAGAGCAATTGCACTACAGTAAGTATTTATTATTTATATATTTACAACCGTTTTTAAAAGCTTTTATATATATATATATATATATATATATATATATATATATATATATATATATAATAGCTCAGCGGGCTGTGCGGCTGCCTCTCATTCGCTTCACTGTCGAATGGTTTAGTGGATGTGGGTCGAGCCCCAGCTCGGTGTACAGAAAACAAAAAGTCTAACGCAGCAGTTTAAAATTCTAGATGAATCTGCGGCTTAGACTAGGATATGCTGGGTTCTGATCGGCCTATGGTGGAGCAGTACGGCAAGAGATAAGGGCTTGCGGCTCGGTGATACTCCTCCATAGATCCCTACCGGACGGGCGTAACGCCTAAAAAACCGGATATATATATATATATATATATATATATATATATATATATATATATATATATATAATATAATATAAAATTAATATTTCTTGGGTTAAGAAACTCAAAACTACAATATATATATATAGCGTTGATGACGTTCTTCACAAATACCCGTTGTTTATTTAATTTTAAAAATATTATAATAGTTTATCTTCAGTAAGTTCGTATCTTTTTCCTAGAATAATTTTGTTTCTATCTCATATCTTTAGGAACTTAAAAATCAAAAAAGCTACTATAAACAAAAGTTCTTCATCAAATAGTTCATTCCATCAAGAATTAGCAGAAACCTCTACTTTACCTAGTTGTAGTGTCGATTCGTAAGTAACCCTTTTTACTTTTTTTTATTTACTTACCGTAAAGTAAGTAAATAGAGGGTTCATGACCTTACATATTATTTGTTTATGGTCAAAATATTATCAATGTTTTACTCTTAAATAATAATAATAACAAATAATATCATTTGCAGAAAATACTTTTTTTATAAATTTTATCGTTATTTCTAGTAATAGCTGTCATTCTCAGTCAGTTGAGATTGCCTCTCCGCAAAAACCATCTTTTTCGGTAGAAGGCAGAAGAATAGTGGACATAAACTTTTTCATTAAATCTATTCAAGGTTTGAATAATCATTCTCCATTTTCATGCAACTTTTCTAATATGTAGATTATCAAAGAAAAAATGGACGGATTGATAAGTACACTGACTTTTAAATGTCAAATGTGCAATATTGAAAAGGAGATAGAAACATAGGATTCTGGTAAAAATTCACTGAACTTGAGTGGTTCTAGTTATTCAGACATACAGCAGCAGCACGCCGCATTAAATATACCTGTGATGTCCTATAGGCAGTATGCAAAACATACGGAGACAGATGCAGATATCATCGGCCAAACACTTTGTGATTCCATAGAAGAGGCTGAACGGGAGGAATTAGCTTTAGCCAAAGAAATTGGTGAAGTAGATTCCGACGGAAATGGGTTAATAACCGTTATAGCTGATGGTGCTTGGTCAAAAAGATCGTATAAAGTAAACTACGATGCTTCTTCAGGTGTTCATACCTGACGTTGTAAAATTTATTAAATTAGTACGCCTTTAATGGATAGGACATGTAATTAGGCGAGATGAAGATGAAACGATCAGAAAAATTTTCGACCGAAGAGGACCAGTGGGAAGACGATCCAGAGGAAGACCAAAACTTAGGTATCAAGATATCATAGAGGAAGATCTAAAATCCATCGGAGTTAGAGCTTCTGGAAGAGGTGCCAAAGACAGGGGCGAATGGAAGGTTGTTCTGAAGAAGACTTTGGCTCATGACGAGCTGTAATGCCACTGATGATGATGACTATCCACGATTTGTGTTTTATTCATAAATTGGATACTTTTCTTATGTAACTGCAATCTATAAATATATTAAAATATTGTATATTATTCCATTCAGAGAACTTTTTCCTCACAGTGCGTCGCCTCGAAATACTTGCCAGATAAATACATTTACTATTATGATGGTTTCGTAGGTACCAATTTTTTATAGATAACTAAAAATATTTTTTGTTTAATTTTTACTACGCTAATATCAGTTTTCTCTAACAAATAAATAACTTCTTGAAATAATTTTCAAGCTATAACTGCGAATTTGTTTATTTGTTTGTGATAATAAATTGTAATTTTTTTGATAATAATATTTTTATGTTATTTTAAATTTATTATAAATAAACACCATGGTGTTTTTTGCAGTCACGTTTCACAAATTTTTATTCAATACTATGTTTAGCTAAGACATATAAATTAAAAATGTGATTAATTCTTTTTAAAACATTATCTACGATAATCAATCTAAAAAAAGTATTCCGACAAAACTAAATTGAATGGAGAATAATGCATTTATTGTCAATAAACAACCCGTGGGCCGGCGCCACTGAATAAACATCGAAACTGCAGATTTCAAATTAGGAAGTCACGTAGGGTCTCACATAAGCAGTGGAGAAAAGTAAGTGATACACCCACTTCAAATCGCAGTATGCTTTAACTGCAAAAACAGCCTTAAACGTACTATAATTTCTTAGTTATTCGTTAAGAAACTCTTCCACTGAATAATATAGTCTTTCAGATAGATAGGCATTTGTCAATTTACGGAACTTAAGGATAGAAGTTGTAGATTTAAG